ATTATGTAGTCCTAAAGGTGTTCAAAGGTAACCCTGATGGATTTGAGAGAAATATCATAGAAAGAAGTTGGATTATTTAAGTGAACAACAGGCTAGCATGAGCTAACATGTTACTGATCACATATTTGCATACAATTTATTAGTGGGTATAAAAACAAAACAAAAAAATCTGTTATGTTTGGTCACATTTTCAAGGAGCCACTGCAAAGGGACCAAAGAGCCCCAGAGCCGCAGGTTGCAGACCCCTGGGCTAGAACAATGTTGGTTTCATCGTTGGCTACAATTTGGTGTGTTAGTAGCTGAGTCATCCCCGACACATGTTGAGAGCTAACAGAATGCATGATCACTTTCCCTGAAACTCTGACAGTGATGTTGGAGTTTTAATGAAACTTTTAGTACGCCTACACGGCCACCACATTAACTAGCACAAACATGGCYATTACAATCAGTTTTACAGATAAAAAGTTAAAGTTTGGTGTGGTAGTAGCTGAGGCTCATCTGCAGAGTGTTCACAGGTTTTCTGATATCTTGTAAGACCTTGCACATTATTTCTGTTTTAACCCTAAGAGTTATATCTACTTATTTTCTCAACACAAGACGATCCCAGTATAAGAAGTGTCAGGTGATGGGTATACTTTCAAGGAATGCAGGGTTTTTTAATTTAGATAAAATGCAGTGTCATCAGTTTTTAAAGATAATGTAGAGTCATGGCCAAAAGTTTAAAAAATGGATTTGCGTGATGTCATTTTTCAGGCAGGGAATGACTTTGCAACTAATTGTAATCCATCAGATGTTTTRTAACTAGAGATAATTCAAATTTGCACCATAAAAAACCGAGGTAGCAAACTTTGCAAAAAACCAAAATTTGTGCCATTCTCAATTTGTCAACGACTGTAATGTTTCCGAATGAGCTGTWTTTGTGTAGTTGAAACAATGTGTGACCTCCTGACACCCACTCTCTCATCAGGGACAGGCTGCCTGCTGCAGGCCGTGGAGACGGCAGCCCAACGCCGGGCCCAGACGGTGGGCAAACCCAACCACTTCATGTTCGACTGCGTGGCCTCCCAGTTCRGCGTGCAGCGGGAGCGCTGCCTGATGGTCGGGGACCGCCTCGACACGGACATTCTGCTGGGCTCCAGCTGCGGTCTGAAGACCCTCCTCACCCTGACGGGGGTCAGTACGGTGGCGGACGCCGAAGCCCACCGGGAGAGCGGCTGCCCAGAGAGGCAGGGGATGGTTCCGGATTATTACGTGGAGAGCATCGCGGACCTCCTTCCAGCTCTACAGGGATAAGCCTGAGAAATCCTATTTGATGGACTACGACTAGATATACTGCCCAGATTTTATTTATGTAATTTACTGTTMATTTTAAATGATATTAATAACAAAAAATGAGATTTAGTATTATATCAAAATATATATATTCAGTATATATTTAAGCGTTATGGTAAAATTGTTAAATGTTGAGTCTGCTGGCCTTTATTATTCCTGTGATGCAACCTTCCTTTAAGCAAACTGAACGTTAAGCTCACAAAGGGAAGTAGAGAACAAAAAAAACATGTGATACGTGTCCAAGTTTACTTCTCTGTATCAAACTCTGGTGTGTTTTAAGACTTTAACAGAATGCACTGTTATTTGCACTTGGGCCGAAAGAGATTTTGCAGTGATAACCAGGTCTGTCGCAAATAAAGCGTTTTAAGAAATTCCTGACTTGTACAGTGTGTGCTTGCAATCTCGATTTCGAAAGAAAATGTGCTAACATCACAATAAAATCAACTTTTTTTTTCATGAACCTGTTCTCGATTCTTGGTCTGCTGAACTTTTGGTGAAAGTCCYGTGCTTAATTTCACCTTGATTTGATTTGATTTATTTATGTAACAGGAAAAGATTATTAAAAAGCCTGACTCAGCATAATTGCTGTTTTACAGCAGGTTCCTGTTCTGCAGCACATAAAACACTCAGAATTACAGCATCACAATCACATCATTATACAC